AAAGGCATCATCAGGTTGGTATGCAGGACAGTTGGCCTTGACAAAGTCCAAACACCGGCCACCAGCATGTGCAGAAGATGGTGAGAAGAAAACTCCCTTTTCCATTCACTCCTGTACCATTTATTCCCATCCCAAACACCATGCCCCCACCTTCCCCATTTCTTATGGCAGCCGATAGTAAGTAAGCGAAGCAGAGGCTGACATAGGCAGTCAACCTTATTTATGAGAGTTCATAAACATTCATAGATTGAGTTTACAGTTTGAGCTGTAAGCAAACATTTTCTATAGAGGAAATCTGTCACATTTTCCTCCTTTACATTTATTACATCTCCCTCCTGTGCAAGGAAGGCTGCTGCTGAGTTCCAGGGAGGGGAACCATTCTCCGAGAGGGAAGAGAACAGTTCTACATGCTGTTTGCTTTCGAGTTCGGTTTGTAAGTCCCATTCCAATGAGTCACATTAATTAAATTTATCTGATAAGGCGACTGCTGATGAGTTACATACTGGAACAGACTGTGTGTTTGCAGTATAATCTTCCATTTTCTGCTGCTTCAATGGCTTGGATGAACTCTGCTGCAGAGTGCTGTCTCCTTTTCCCCATTCTGTATCTAAAACAAATGGTAGCCACACTATATGTGCTTTTGTAAAAATCCGGTATAGATTAAAAATGAGTTAAAACATAAAAATACTTATATATATTTAAAAAAAGGAAAACCTAATTTACTTTTGGAAGAGCTCTTTACAGCCATTGCTGCCTGTCCTCCATCTTAGCTCCATCTTACCATTTTTAGTCTTGTGATAAAGGTAAAGGTTTCCCCTGCTCAAGTCATGTCTAACTCTAGGGCATGGTGCTCATCTCTTGTTTCTTGGCCAAGGAATCCAGCGTTGCTGAAGACAATTTCCGTGGTCATGTGGCCAGCATGACTATATGCCGAGGTGCACAGAACGCTGTTACCGTCCCACCAAAGTAGTACCTATTTATCTACTTGCGTTTGCATGCTTTCAAACTGCTACGTTTGCAGGAGCTTGGGGCAGGAATGGGAGCTCACCCCATCATGTGGTGCTCGGGTCTCAAACCCAGGCTGTCAGCTGACAAGCTCAGCATCTATAACTGCTGAGCCATTGTGCCCCTACATTGCAGAAGACGTATATAATAAAAGTTGTATGGATTTGCAGTCATCAGCAAATCAAAAATCAGCAAATGGTAAAACTCTTCCACTAAAGATAGTGAGATGTTTTGTATCTCTACTTCCATTTCTTTCCCACTCCCAGAATTATTGTTTTAGAACATTTTTAAAAGGGAAAAAGACTACCCTTGTATGGTGGAATATATAGGTGGTGGTATGAGAGGTTCTACAGTGTCTCTTTGTCAGCTGATTGGCTTTCTTCTATTAGCTTGTAAGCCCAGATGTTTCCTTTTCCTAGCATTTGCCTGCCATTTGGTTTCCTTGTGTCGACATTCTCCTCTTGCTATTCTAGACACTACAGGCTGGGGGGTCAGTCCTCGAGGGGCTGGCTATTTATTTGGCAGCGATGGGGTGGCACAGTTCAACGCTGCAAATGATATCG